ATTGCTAAAATCTACTACCAGGCCAACCCGACCGTTCCTTCACCATCCCACCGATATCGACTATTGTGGGAATCGTACATGGTGAAGTTCTCCTGGGCTCGGTGCGAGCTGTTCGAGTTTTCATTCGACGCTCCAAGACTAGGCATGGTTCGTCCACGACAGAAGTTAGTTGCATAATCGCAAACACCATATCTCTATGGTTACACGCAGTAATCCTTCAGGCCTACGAGATCATCAAACGGAACTCGCCGAGAGCGAATTACCCTCAAGATCTCAAGGTGTCAGCTTTACCAGGGCTCAACACGGCAATTGTGGTTTTGGAACAATCACGGAAGGATATTTCTGGAGATTCGACACATATTTTCGTTAGTCATAACCTTCGCGTTGGGGCTCTCGAGGATGTCGAAGACGTTCGAAGTTTGGCCCTCTGGTTGTTATCCTGCAGATTGCCAACCCCTGACGCAAATAATGAACTCGCCCTATACAGAGCCAGTCAACTTCCATGTGCAGTCACCACCAGTGGAAGAATATTAGACAATCTTGTTTGTCAGCGATGGCTCTATGACGCAGTAAGTAAAGAATTAGCTAAGTAGCTATTATTTTCTTTATTACTAAGCGTGTATAGGGAATTTCTCTTTAATTCCTATGTTCAATCTTTTTGATTTTTGAACAACCCTACCGTAATGGCATTTTTGTCTGAACTTTTCCGCTTCACGGTTTATCGACCAACTGGTGTCGTATTGCAGGGTGTGAATTATTGAGGTTTCTGTATTCTGAAGGTTTACCCACCTCCAAACCGTCCGATACAGATGCATTAAGGAGTAATGCAGGATAAGTAAAAAATTTAAGTAAAATCTAAATATTTTTTACATTTGTATACTTATCCTGCATTACTACGCTTAAGGCCCACCCGTCGTAAGACTTGCCTCCCCACTTTGGCTTCGGAAACCTCAAAAGTATGTTTTTCTAAGAGCTTGGGCGACAGGCAGTGATGTGAAGATGACCTTAGGTGTCATCAAGGTCACAGGACAGCGACGGAAGGCCACTGATTGGGACTTGAGAACAACAACTTTATTTCTTCACCCAGGACCTTCGCAGCGCTGTCCTTCTAGTTGTCGTAAGTAAGCAGTGAATGCATTAAGGAGTAATGCAGGATAAGTATACAAATGTAAAAAATATTTAGATTTTACTAATATTAGATGTGAAGGTGACAGTTGTCGTCATACATTTTCACGTGTTGTTGTTCTGTTCCTCCATTTTGAATTGCTAATGTGGGGCGGTCCCTCGGCCCTTTTGTATTTCAAGGCTGGCTAGGTATTAGCATTGTGTATAAATACTTTTAACACTTTATCCACAGATATAGTGTAATACTATTCTTATATTAAGCTAATGTTTCCATTATTGGGAACTTTAACTTTGTTAGTTCTCCATAATTGGAGGCTGTATTTATAGTAACTTTTGCGTAATTGTTTAACAATCAGTGCTTGTTACTTGCACTTTAAAACCATGTACGGTTATTATTGTGTATTACTTAAATTTACTATATGTAAATTTCTTTGTGGGGAATAAAATTTGTTTGGTTTGCTCTTCATTGTGACAACCAACTTGTTTACTAGAGCTTCGCACCTTCAAGATCGGTAAGATATTTGACAGAATTGGTATATGCTGCCGGGTACCCACCTGTTGGGATGATCGTGCACAGGGCAGCACCAGGTGATCAATTTGCACCTGCACCGGTCAAGTCACATGTCCGATCCAGAACTCTGAAACACCACCTGGCTATTTACCACTCAGTTCACTGTAGACTGTCAGTTGTGTGGAGTTCGTGACTCGCTTCTGGCATATTGCGGGATTCAAGGTTAATGCGCAGGATGATTCAAATATCACGGGTCAAGGACTCTGACTGTTGTTATCTATAAATTGTGTCAACTTTGTCATCCGTCAACTTCTAAGCAATGCCTATCAAACAATTCATCTGTCGTCTACATGGAGACGTGGCAATCTACACCATCAACAGCCTCACCCGACTAGAGAAGAAGCACATTCAAACCAGTAACCACCTTACCTTAAATAATTCCTCATGAGATGCAGAGATCAAAACATCATCCCCAAAGGCCTCAGGATCAAATCCCCCATCAACTCCCCTGCCGGGAAGGCTATCCTTCACACCGCCTCCCAATGCCTCGTCACAGAACGAATCCACCAGCATCGCAAAATCGAGGCCATCTCCCTCAAAGACATCTCTGACCACGTCAACCAGCTCAACACTACGCTCCAACCCGACACCTTCTCCTCACTGCGCACGAAGACCAAGGCCAACCACATCAACAAGTTCCAACACCTCCTCACCGATTAGCCCAAAGGGGCACGGGTGGCCAAGTCGTCTAACCCACCACAATTCGATGTGCAGAGTTGCGTCTCTTGGGCATGCCAGAAATCTATGATTGTGGGTTCATATCCTGGTTCGCCCCAATTATGTTTCTAGGTTTGTCAGCACCAAACCCGTGCTCGTGGGTTTCACCGAAGTGGTAAACCTCTAAGACCTGCATCACTTCAGACTTTCTTCGCACATTAAGCTGAAACGCTGTGATGTAACTGGAATACTGTTAAAAGCAGGGTTAAACACAACTCACTCACTCACTCACAATAAGCCCCAAACCAGCACCACAAGACATCCTAACATCAAACAGCACCACTGAAAGACTGTTGTCAACCTCAGTAAAAACGAACTCACTACAGAACTGACCAACATCCTGTCCAAAGGTCTGAAGTACATCCCCACCAGACCACTCGGAACCATGATGACTACATCTCAAACATCAAGAAAGTGCTTCAGCAACACTCACCAGGGGGTAAGGTCGACTATCTGCATCACAAGATCTGTGACATTCTTGCAAAAACCAAATTGCAAACTCCTAACCTAACCAGAGCTGAGACAAAAGCCATAAAAGAACTTCGAGATAACAACACCATCAGGATTGCCCCTGCTGACAAGGGCAAGGGCAAGGCCACAGTCATCATGGACACTGTCCACTTCCATGGGTTTCATCTGCTGCTCCAAGACTAGGCATGGTCCGCGGAAACGATTGTTTATCCTGGTATCAGAGACAGCAACAATACCATTACTCAATGGTTGCAAGCTATCATCCTTCAGGCTTACAATATTACTCTGTCTTTGCTAGCCACTACCTGAGATTCATGGCTTTAGAAGACGTTGAGGGTATTCGCAGTTTTGGACCGCTGGTCCTAGCACAGCAGGTAGTCAACCCGCGACGCCATAAAAACAATTAAATCATGTCCAGAGCTAGCCTTACCCTACTCGCATAGTTTGGTTGGTGTTCTTGCATGCATGGCTTGGTAACTCAGTTTCTAGACCCTAGCGCACGCTATTGTCTTTTACTGTTTGTTTACCTGTGCATACTCATACATTCTTGAGTTTTCCCGCGGACAGGATAGGCTGATCAGTTCCCAATCTGCGCAGAAGATTTGCGCCGTACAGCTGACACGGCCTGTAGTTGGGAGAGTCTTTATCGAGTGCACATCTGAAGGTATTCCCTACTGTCGGATACAGATGCATTAAGGAGTAATGCAGGATAAGTTAAAAAATCTAGTAAAATCTAGATATGGAGTATATTTGTGTACTTATCCTGCATTTCTACGTCTTAAGGATTCACTCGTCACAGACCTTCCTCCCCACTTTATCTTCAGACATTTTACGTGTAGCAACAGTAATGTGGAGACATCTTTCATCTACCACTTCCTGTGATCCCAGGCGGGTCCTGCTTTGGAACTGAACAGCACTTTTTCTTTCTTCAGCAAGATCAAACACAGCATCACTATTGTCATAAGGTAAGCAGTGAATGCATTAAGGAGTGATGCAGGATAAGTATACAAATATAAAAAATATCTAGATTTTACTAGTTTTGTATTTGAGATACAGTAAACTACATTTATGAGAAACACGCTAAAAACAAAATGACGTATATAATGAACTGTTTTTGGCCAAAGCTATTTGCCGTATATTTTATCGTATAAAATTGAATAATATAACAAACTTTGTGGTCCCAGGTGTACTCTGTTAAGGACTATGTCTATGTTCATAACTGTTAAAATCTGGGCTCCATACGTGTCAGCAAAGACATCCGTGGACAGGCACGGCTGTTCAAAGCTGCAATAAGCAATTGAAGGCAAGTGTTTAACTTTAATTGGATTAAGTACTGACGCTTGTCCTCTATTTACACCAACAGTGTTTTATCAACAGTGATAAGGCTCTAGCCTTTGAAGCGGATATATTTTGTTTTTTAAAATGCGACGACTAGAGTGGGGAAATTCAGTATTGATAAAATTACAATGGTAGACACATCTCACAAGCGGAAAGCTTTTGTGTCTGTATGTCAATGAAACTGTATCAATAATATCTTTATGACATACTTTTACTTGTGCTCTACAGGAACTATACAGTAAATTATGGTTATAACAAACTTAACTCAGTTGTCTCTTTGAGTTTGTTATAACCGTAGTTTACTGTATCAACATTATGTACAGCCTCTGTAAGGATGTTGATATAATGTACAAGTTTTAAAAATATTTCCTCAAATTTTATTCATGATGACTCCCTGCATAGAATCCGATCTCGAAAATGTCGGAAAAGTCCATTTTACGAACAGGTGGTTTAAGTTTGGTATTTCCTGCATATTCTCACAATCCTCATGTTGATCATATGTACCTTTTCTTCTAATATAGATTGTCATATCTCTCCCACTTTTGGATGTAATCGTTTGGCCACTGCATTTATCTGCGTAACTTACTAGACACTTCCCTCTCAAAAATAACGTCTAGTTTATGATGTCGCGGTGCAAGAGCATATTCGATTCTGCGGAAATGATGTCTTGATGTTTTATTTTGTAAAAGCTTGTACATTCTATTAACATAGTTAAAGAGGCTGTACAAAATGTTGATACCTCATATAAGAAATAAACCACGCTATACATTGTTTTCAGGCCTGACTGTGTATGCAGTGTCTTGGGGACCAGATTCAGACCAGGTTTTGTTCACCAATGGCAAGCAGTTAGTCATCAAATCTCTTCAGGCCAATGCTAAACCCATTATGGTAAGGCTACTAACTATGTCACAGCAGACGTTTGTGACATCGACACATCTTCAACAATATTGTAACTGATCACATCCCTAGTTACTGTTGGTGACACCGGAGCTGTATGACGTCACATCCCTAGTTACTGTTGGTGACACTGGAGCTGTATGCTGTCACATTCTTAGTTACTGTTGGTAGGACTGGAGCTGTATGAGGTCACATGGCAGTTACTGTTGGTAACACTGAAGCTGTATGACGTCACATGCAAGTTACAGTTGGTGACACTGGAGCTGTATGGTGTCACATTCCTAGTTACTGTTGGTGATACTGGAGCTGTATGATGTCACATCCCTAGTTACTGTTGGTAGGACTGGAGCTGTATGGTGTCACATTCCTAGTTACTGTTGGTGACACTGGAGCTGTATGATGTCACATTCCTAGTTACTGTTGGTGACACTGGAGCTGTATGCTGTCACATTCCTAGTTACTGTTGGTGACACTGGAGCTGTATGATGTCACATTCCTAGTTACTGTTGGTGACACTGGAGCTGTATGGCGTCACATCCCTAGTTACTGTTGGTGACACTGGAGCTGTATGATGTCACATTCCTAGTTACTGTTGGTAGGACTGGAGCTGTATGATGTCACATGCCAGTTACAGTTGGTGACACTGGAGCTGTATGACGTCACATTCCTAGTTACAGTTGGTGACACTGGAGCTGTATGATGTCACATCCCTAGTTACTGTTGGTGACACTGGAGCTGTATGACGTCACATTCCTAGTTACTGTTGGTGACAATGGAGCTGTATGCTGTCACATTCCTAGTTACTGTTGGTGATACTAGAGCTGTATGACGTCACATTCCTAGTTACTGTTGGTGACATTGGAGCTGTATTCCGTCACATTCCTAGTTACAGTTGGTGACACTGGAGCTGTATGCTGTCACATTCCTAGTTAGAGTTGGTGACACTAGAGCTGTATGCTGTCACATTCCTAGTTACTGTTGGTGACACTGGAGCTGTATGACGTCACATTCCTAGTTACAGTTGGTGACACTGGAGCTGTATGCTGTCACATTCCTAGTTACTGTTGGTGACACTGGAGCTGTATGGTGTCACATTCCTAGTTACTGTTGGTGACACTGGAGCTGTATGCTGTCACATTCCTAGTTACAGTTGGTGACACTGGAGCTGTATGCTGTCACATTCCTAGTTACTGTACATTTGAAAGACTTCCCATGTGATACTAGCATTCAATAGGAGAGGGCGTTCCTCAAGGGGACAAGCATGAACAAGCAATATACTTCGAGTCCCTGAAAGGGGTGGGGTTTGGCGAGCAAGCCCACATCAGTTGCCACAAGGACCCTTCTGTCACCATTGACTTGATTAAGAAAATGATGTCATCCATGGTTGTGTCCATGCAAACCTCCATCATAGTGTTGGTAGCTAGATCTGTCTCGATTTTGATGGATTGTCAGTTACACACTTTTTGTGATCTACAACTTCAGACTGTGTCAACTTGCCAATCTTTCTGACCACCCCTCTTTCCCCAACTCAGATTGATTGTAGTAGCCAAGGGGCAGGGAAGTTTATCAACACGGAAGCAGTTACCTGAGACACGTCAGAAACATGACAACTGTCTGTTGGGGAAAAGCACACTTTTCCATGCATAATGGTACCAGGTGAGTCGAAGAAATATCCACCAGCGGCTGCTGTTACACATGAAGGCATAAAACAAGAAGAAACCGACCATTTCTTCATGCACTGCACTAGACATTCAGGACAATTTCATTCAGCCAGGTGTGAGTACCACACCCCGCCCCTCCCCATGTGACCATCAGTCTTGTTTGGACAATTGCCAACACCAAGAGGCAACAAGCATGGAGTGCATAGATCCTGTATCTCAGGCCATGGGTGAGGGAGTGTGTGAGCCTGCCAGATTATTCATTTCCAGAACCAATCCTGCTCCTCAATCTTGGGCCACCTTGAGTCCCTTTTTCTCTCTCCCCCCTAACTACCCCCACCACACCCCTAACCCATTTAAGCCAATAGTTTCATAGAGTTCTCAAAGTGCTCCAAACTTTTTACCAAGAAGACGGTTTCTTTGGAATAATTCGAACAATTGACTACATAACCAGGATAACTGTGTTCAGGACATTTCCCAAACTTGTGTTGCATTAATGAATTTGAGGTTTATATTTCAGTGGAAGGCTCATGAGGGAGTTGTTTTGGTGGCGGACTGGAATCCTGTCAATAATCTCATCCTGTCTGGTGCTGAAGACTGCAAGTATAAGGTTGTTATCACAATGTGTTTAGTGAAGATAATGTGTGCATGGTCCGTACCATCTTCCCAAGGCAAGGGAGTTAACAAACTGTAAAAGTCCAGTTTCCACCCTTGCCGAACTAGGCTGGACTAACGAATCTATGTATAGTCCAGTCAATATCGTGTAACGAAATCAACATGAGTACCGTCAACTGGGCATCAACAGATGTTTTCCAAATCTTTTCATGTTTTTAATCAAGGTGCTCAAGTGCTTAGATGCACTTAGCGATCTAAGACCGGTTTTATTACATTAAAGACCTTGATCATATCGATCATATCGTCTTGACAGGGCGCCACAATTTTGTTTTAAAGAAATGCAAGTGATATGAGAGGTGGAATCTGATTGGTCAATAGAAGGGACATAGCTTGAAATAGTCACTGATGGCATTACGATCGAGTCAAGAAATTCCAGCCTAGTTCCGCAAGGGTGGAAACTGGACATGAATCTGGGGAGTGCACCCACTGTTTTGAAGCAGTCTAAATATTTATGCATTCAGAAGTTTAATGGGTATCAGGTATATTGATTGTAAACGTATTACGAAGCTATAACATTTCATTAATTACATGACTACCCAACCCTGCCAATACTTACTACTGACCACATTGAGCTGTGCCCTCCCGTATCGATACATGCAGGTAGATAGGTGAAGTCTGTAAGTACAAACTGGACAAATAACAAGTGAACTGCAGAGAGTATCATTATGATGATTGAGGTTCTGGTTTAATATGGTGTAATAACAGTTAATCCTGTGTGAGTTCCAAGACAGACAATAGGTTAAAAATGTCTCACTTCTGTACATACATATATATCAACTTTGTACAAATAAACATTGATAAATTGCTCTTGATAAATTGCTCAGAACCATTCAAAAGAATTATCAGAGACAAATTAACTTAAAATTAGTACAAATATGCTTTCAAGATGAGATAGTAACACTTTATCCTGTTCTATAAAATACCTACTCAATAAATTGTAAAAGAACAATGAAGAACGAAGCATGGTTTATTTCACGATAAAACATTGTTACAATCTTTTCTAGCGTGACATCATTTCTGGAGATGATTTGATGATGTCATAAATTTGATGACGTTATTTTTGAGAGGGAAAAGTTGTTCCCCATAGATGTAGCTGGGCAAAGCAGATAAATGCAGTTGCCAAACGATCACATCTGATTTGTTTGTTTGTTGTTTAATGCCACACTCAGCTATATGATGGCGGTCTGTAAATAATCAAGAAGAGGCTGTACAAAATGTTGATGTCTCATATAAGTAATGAACGACTCCTGGTCGTTGTTTATCGCACAATAGAACAGTGCAGGGAGAACAAACCATGAGGGGCGGCGCCACATGAAGCTGACACACCAAGTTATACCTGGAATACCTGGTGTTCAGCCCAGTCAGTCACTTGCTCACTAAACTGTGGAAATCAGGCCCAAAGTGAACAGCACTGTATATGTAGATGAGCTTCATTCTCAGCCAATAATGTTAAGCTAGTTAATCAGTTATGAACCAGTTAAAAGCATGGGAGACAACAAGCATTCTTGCTTAAACTGCAGTTTACTGTAAACCAGGAAATAAAGAAACCATTCACGCGTACACTGCAGTAAACATCCTTGTATAATGATTGGGAGGCTCTTAGTAATTTGCTTCCATGATGTGAAATTTTGTCTCATAAAATAGTACAGAAACATAAGCTTTCTTTAAGTCTATGAATGAAACAAATATAGGTATTTTTCTTACTTTTCTATTTTCTATAGTTGCTGTTAGCATCTGGGTGTGGTCAATAGTAGGTCTATTTTGTCTGAATCTATTCTGTGCATCATGGAGTATGTCATTAGTTTGTGTTGTTGTAGTTGATGACATGGTACATGGTGTTAATGTACATCTGTCATGTTGTTACTGCTGCAGGTGTGGGACACGTATGGCCGACTGATGTACAGCAGTTCACCTCACGAGTATCCCATTACATCAGCTTGCTGGACACCGGATGGGGAGATGTTTGCTGTTGGATCCTACAATACTCTCAGACTCTGTGACAGGAGTGGGGTAGGTTGAACTCTGCTGTCTATTATTATGTATGAATTGTGAGTGGCTAATTCTCTGCCATCACTGGGTTCATCATGTGTCACTCTAAGGGCATTGATTGATGGTCACATGTTAATATTAGAATAATAACCAGGTTTGTAAGGTCCACAGAAGGCATGAGGCAGCTGTACTACAGCCTAATCTGTGTATCACCTTCCTCACTACATCCTCACTACGTCCTCACAGTAAGTGTTACCACTATCCCTGTGAAATGCATATTCTCTGATCTGGATCCAAAGGTCAGGGATGTGAAATCTCTGCAGAAACGCAGAATATCATGTTTTTTTAATCAGTAGTAGGGTAGACTGCAGTATTTGGGTCCCCACTTTGGAATGAACGTTTTTACGTGTTTATGGAAGTTGTCAAATGAAAAACATTCCACGCATGCGCAGTTCATTATTTACGGTCGAATCAAGAGGATTTGTTGGCTGCCATTTTTCTACCGAACGCTGTCTGCAGTTCAGTATTTTCTTACACAGACAACACACGGGGGGTTTGAGGGAGGTATGACCCCCCCTTGTCGAAATATTAAAGTAACAAAGGGGGGTTACACCCCCCTTTTTTTCTAATAAATCAAACTATGGTAATTTCATTCTGTTTCTTGAACAATATATTTTGTTGTTCGGACAACACAGCGGGGTTCAAGGCAGGTACAACCCCACCTTTATGACATTTTTAAAGTAAACTACGGGGGGTTAAGGGTGGTGGACCCCCCCTTTTTTCAAATAAATCGCACTACAGTATAACTTCATTCATGAACGCATGTGAATTTTCATAGGAAAATGATCATTGATAGATACTTTCTCATTCAAACAAATAATTTGAGACGTTGAATTCGTATAAGTCTGTGGATCCATCTAGACCTAGTTCAATTTCTTTTTCTGCTTCTTTTTCATCTTTTTCTTAAACGATTATTTTGCTTCTAAGTTGTAATAGATGTAAACACGGCTGATGAACTAAGAAACTGAATAAAATGATCAACTGAACAACTGAACAACTGAAATATTTCTTTTCTGATAATGTTTTGAACAAAATAATTTTCATACATTCCCGCATTCGTCCCATACCTATGCAAAAATGTCTGCACTGTACTCCAAGTTGACTCTGTTTTTTTTTACAAGCCACAGTTTATAAATTTACAAGTTATGAGCGAAGTTGGTTCCGTACTAACTAGTCCATATAAGGAAAGTCACATGATCAGACACGTTGACGTCTTACGTTATTTATGTCCCCCCCCAAAACAACACGAAGTCGACAATACGATAATTCGGCTTCACTGTATATCGTAAAACTCTCGGCCCCACAGGGGGATGGGGGGGGTGAAGTTTATGGCAGTATTGCTCCCAGACCTGGTGGGAAGCCAGGTGCGAGGAAGCTATGCCTGATTTTTTTAAAGTACTGATTTAACTTCGAAATTTTACTGCATCTGCCACCTCGTTTATTTGACTTATTGACTTTTACCATTGACTTATTACATTTCTTGTTGTGAATGTTTTCCAAACTGCACGAAATTGCTTAAAATGCAATCAAATGTTTAAAAAAATTTCCAGACCCCCCTAGACTTTTCCTTCTTTTTTTGGGAAGACCTGCTCACATCCCTGAAAGGTATTCCTTAAAGCTTTCTTTTTGCAGTGGTCCTATGCCCTTGAGAAGCCAAATACAGGCAGTATTTTCAACTTGGCATGGTCAAGTGATGGCACTCAAGTAGCAGGAGCATGTGGGAATGGCCAGGTCATCATTGCCAATGTTATAGAGAGGTAAGGCAGTGCGGGACACATGTTACCTTTGACTTTTAGATAAATGGATAAAATATTTAGAAAGTTTCTATATAATTCTATTTTTTCTAGCCATACGTTATGTTTCTTACTGTGCTTCAGGTTTAGTTCCAGTTCACTGGGGTAGCTCGTAGCAAGAATATTTGATCACAGGCATGCAGTCAAAAGCTCAGTGTTTTTGCATTCATTATGTACAATAGAAACTGTACAGTGTCTAAATGATCAGAATTAACGCTTCTGAATTTATTAGCTCACCGGGTCCGAAGGACCCGGGTGAGCTTATGCCATACTGTGGCGTCCGGCGTCCGGCGTCCGTACGTCAACAATTTATTCATACAACTTCTTCTTCTGAACCACTTATTGGAAATTAACGAAATTTGACTGGAAGCATCGCTAGATGGTGGTGATTCAAAATTGTACGAATGGTGTGGCTGAGGGGCGGATCCAAATGGGGGTAATTTGGCTATATTGCTATAAACAACTTCTTCTCTGGAACTGAGAAATAGATATCAACCATATTTGGTTGGAAGCATTCCTAGGTAGTGGGGATTCAAAATTGTTCAAACGATGGGGCTGACCCCCCGCGGGGCCAAATAGGGGTAATTTGGCTGTATTGCTTTAAACGACTTCCTCTCTGGAACTAATATTTGGTTGGAAGAATTCTCCAATGGTGGAGATTCAAATTGGGGAAATGGAGGGGCTGAACCCTACCCAGGGGCGGGGCTATAAACGTAAGTGTCAGTCATGTTATGAGCCTCTCACTCAATGTAAGAGCTGAATATCATTTAAACTACACATTAACCATTGTTAACTATCATTCTGTCTTGATTGCCAATGGGGGGCACAGGTGGCCCAGTCGTCGCGATTCACTGTGCAGAGTTGCGTCCCTTGGGCACGCCAGAAAACTATGATTGTGGGTTCAAATCCCTGCTGCCCCGATTATGTTTCTAGGTTTGTCAGCACCATACCCATGCTCGTGGGTTTCACCGAAGTGATAAACAGCTAAGACCTGCATCACTTCGGGCTTTCCTCCCACATTAAGCTGACATGCTGTGATATAAGTGGAAACTGTTAAAAGCTGTGTTAAATCCAACTCACTCACTTGACTGCCAATTTCTGACTGTCATTTCACAGAGTTTTCAAAGGAGGGGGGGCATGTCTCTTGCACCTAGGTATTGCATGTGTTTGAAGACAATGGAGATTCATTTTTCAGGAGACTGGAATGGAAGAACTATGAAGCAACACTAGTAGCAAGTAAACAGATTCGAATACGTAATGTGATGAATGATGCAGGAGAGAAGCTTGATTTCCGAGACAGAGTCATCAAACTGTCCATGTCATTTGCACATCTAGTGGTTGCCACATCGTCTCAGTGTTACATTTACAGGTTGGTTATACATGCAATACATGAGAAATTAGAGGAAACCATGACAGACTTGTCCATACTACCAATTGTCAGAGTTTATTGATTAGTTGAGATGTCGATATCACATTGCTGTATTGTTGAGAACAATACAACATGATTGTCCCCCTGGCTGCAGGTACAACAATACTGTCACTTGCATCCTTGGCCACCATAATGTCCTGGACACGTTCCCTCTAACACTTGCAGAGGTCATTTGTCTCATTGATAATAAGAACAAGAACTAAATCATGAATTCTGACAATTGTATGTTTTGTAGGATCAGTAAGACTTGTTTATCCTCCATGTTGCTGGCTTGAAAACTTTAAAAAGAGTATATTAAACTTGAATACATTCAGACTTAATGCTGTTTTATCACGTAACACGTGTTTGTTGCCAGTTATACATTATTATCAATATAAACCTCATAATAATTTTGATTATGTTTTGTAAATATATATATGTGTAATATTTTATCTTATCCTGACTCATACTTATTGCTTATCTCTCTCTCTTCCGAATAGGTAGTGGAAACTTCCTGTGCTGTTCCCAAAGAACAGAGAAAACAGCTCACCCAAACGCACCCTTATTCTGCGCATGCGCACCGAAACCATGTGACCAAGCCCAGTAACTCCTCACCCTCTCTTTTTCATGCCATCTTGGCAGCTGGAATTTTTTTTCTGTTCATCGTAATCCAAGCTTTCCATAAAAATTCACCCTTTTTAACAAAATCTTTTGCTTGGATTATCTTCTGTGGTATTCTATACATCATATCTAACAAGTATTTTATATACTTGGCATTAGATTTTTATCGTAATTTGGACTTAAATGCAGCCCCTATCGGAGTTATGAAAATATGTAACCTATGTAAATTACGTGTTTCAGATTCGGACCCTCATCCAACCTGTACCAGCTGCACAGTACAGAACTGCACTGCAGAGGATAGATGCAAATTCTGCACCCCCTTGAGGAAGGAAGAATTTAGTAATTATCTTTTTGCAGTGCAGAGGAAAAAGATGGATCGGAAACGACATGAGTCATCAAGCTCGTTATCTTCCATGGAGACGGCTAAAAGTAAGAAGAGGTGAGAATCTACGCTCTGCCCTTCGTCAGAGGAATTCGAATTTGATATTAATCAAATTACTCCCGCTGAAGATGATACAATCACCCCCCATCTTACTTCCTCGTCTACTAGTAAGAAGTCTAGAGGGTCTAAGAATAAACCTACTGAAATCTTCAGTCAGGCTATCAATCTACAACAACTAGCTAAGAAAAAGAGTGCTGCATCATCTACTTTGAAGCCGTCTTCCCCTAGGAGAGAGCATGTTTTTGCAGAGGTTATTACCTCTACAAAACCACGGATTTCATCAGTAGTCACGAAGGGGGTTTCAAGGAAATCAGCTGTTTCTTCTAGCCAGAAGAAAGCCTGCGCGCAGACAATTACATCCGCACAACCCCAGAGGTTCGCGCAGCCCGCAATGTCATCCAATCAGGCTACAAATACAACCGATACCAACCTCAATCAGCCTCAGACCTTCGCGCAGATACCGGCCTTCGCGCAGCCCAACACAACATTTACGCAATCCCCTACCTTCAACGTTTACACTGCCAACGCCTGCTATTAATACAGATATGATAGATATCACACAACAAGTCATAATGGCTATGCAACAACAAATGTGTAAACAACCTGGCACGCAGTCGACTGCCTCTTCACACAATAGCTTGCAAATGTCGCAGCATTCATTTACGGCTCCGAATCCCAACGCCTCCTATCTTCTGCGAGAGGAGGATGTGTTCGAGCCCCCTCAAAATGAGGACACATCGGGGGAAAATTACCCTTCAATTTATGAGAATCATGAATTAATGGCGTGGATTACAGATAGACTACCGATATCATCACCGTCAAGAAATTCTTCTCCCAGCTCTACCACGTCAATTATCTGGAATACGAGGCAGTAATCCGTGCAATATTTCACTGGGCCCCACAGTTAAGAAACCAACGTCTGATGATCAGAACAGACAATTCAACTGTGGCATACAATATAAACCTTCAAGGCACGACGAAATCGGAGACCCTCCTGAAGTTGACATTTCAACTTTATGAGCTAGTAGACAATCTGAACTTAACAATAAAGGCAAGACATATACAAGGAGTGGCAAATGTCTTAGCAGACGCCTTATCCAGACCAGCCAAACCATCACCGACAGAATGGAAGCTACACCCAGAAGCGTTCCAACTGGCAATAAAAGAGAAAGGTTGCCCACTGATAGACCTATTCGCAACCAGATTCAACAATCAGATAACAACATTTGTATCACCAGTGCCAGACCCACCAGCTTGGTCAGTCGATGCTCTGTCAATATCATGGGAGGGACTAAACGCGTATGCGTTCCCTCCACCAGCCTTGATACCACAGATATTACAAAAGATCCTACACACGAGCAGCCTACAACTGCTTTTGGTAGCGCCTTACTGGCCGGCGAGAACATGGTTTCCAGATCTCATCAAACTAGCAGGAAATCCATTATTAAAACTTCCAAACTGGCCAAATCTACTGCTACATCCTCACTCCAGTCAGGTCCATCCAAGACCAGATCTATACGAACTTCACGTATGGAGCATATCAAGAGCAGTCTCGTTAAAAGAGGATATTCCATAAGAGCAGCTAAGGCAGTCTCCTTAGCACTTCGTAGATCATCGAGGAATCTCTATGACGATAAATGGAAAAGTTTTGACCAGTTTGCAACATCCAAGGGTTTTTCTGCAGCCAAAGCTATTGGCCGCTATCAGTTCTGTACTGACAATGGCTAACGGGATAAAACTTACTAAAGTTCCCGAGCTGATAGCCCTACTCAAATCCTTCAGACTTGAGGACCAACAGAAAAGATTTAGAGCCCCAGCATGGGACCTAAATATAGTGCTACAACACCTAACCAGTGATGCATACGAACTGCTCCAACAGGCCGACTTTGAACACCTGATGCAGAAAACCCTATTTCTTCTGGCATTAGCTACGGCAGCCAGAATGTCTGAAATCCACGCGATAGACTTCAATCACATCACATTTGACAGTGGTAACAACTCATCAGCGCACCTTGGCTTAAGATGGGACTTTATTGCAAAGAACCAGTTACCAGGCCAACTAGACAGACAATTCCATGTTCCGGCTCTTTCCTCTGTCCTTGGTGCAGAGGATACAGAGGATTTATCACTATGCCCAGTCAAAGCCTTAAGATTAAACCTACAAAAGTCTAAACCTAGAAGACAAGGTTTTAAGAGACTATGTCTTCCTTTATTAAGGAATACACACACAGAGGTATCCAGAACAACTATCTCATTTTGGATGAGAGCTGTTATTCTCAGAGCATACAGAGCAGCGGGATTGGACCCCCCTTCAGCCTCCAACCCTCACGAAGTAAGAGCCTTAGCCTCAACTTTGGCACTTCACAGCAAATGCTCCATAACAACTATTATGGAAGGCTGTCTCTGGAAATCAGATACAGTTTTCGCCAATCACTACCTCAGAGACCTTGCTACAGAAGACTTAGCTGGTATTCACCAATTCGGACCATTGTTGTGGCACAACAACTCAGGAATCCTACCAGACGACATTAGAAGATCACACTCACCCAATATCATGTAGACTTGTTGACGTCAGGTTACTGTTCCATAACCAACGACTGAGAGTCCATGCCCCCTGTTTTACTATGTAATTTAGCACATGAGTGTGCTGCTCACAAAAAAGGAAGGTGGTCCCCAATAAAGAATTTACACAGAAGATTAACAACGTTCCTGTGGGGTTTATAGGACAGATCGATGTTAATCACACCTACAGGTGGAACCCACCACCTACTTTGAGATTCAAGCAATAAGTATGAGTCAGGATAAGATAAAATATGAATTTTTTAGAGTAAAACTATCATTTATACTTATCCTGACTCATACAAATGAGTACCCTCCCGGCCTTCCCCTCTTTCCACTGATGTGTTCGGACCATTAAGTAGGAAATAGAGAGAGTGATGAGTTACTGGGCTTGGTCACATTGTTCCGGTGCGCATTTCTGTGTTCTTTGGGAACAGCACAGGAAGTTTCCACTACCTATTCAGAAGAGAGAGAGATAAACAATAAGTAGGAGTCAGGATAGGTATAAATGATATTTTTACTCTAAAAAAAACATTTTTTAACTTATCCTATCTCACACCATGCATATCTTCTTTCTTTTTAGATCCTATGTGGAAACGTGCTTAAACCCTGTTTTGAACTTCTAAAGCAAAAACATTTGCCCAAACACACCCCAGCATCTCTATGGTTACGACCAACAACTGGGTCAATTATGTGCTTTCATGCATGGTAACTTTTTTAGCTTTGACCACGTCGGCTTCTGCTATACGCCGACACACAAATTCAACATCAGATCCACACAAGTTGGGCTGCGATTGTCTTGGCCAATGTACTTTGGAATCTAGATGCGCAGAATGTCAATTCTAAGAAGATTCTGCTTTCTGTGTCTACGTACAGAGATGTAGCAGACATATACTAGACCGCAGATTTAGAATTGAATCACATCTTCCATTCATTCAGAAGAGCCCATACTTTCGATTACAGATGACACTGTCTCCGGCAGTTTCTTAAGGGAGGATGTTTCACAAATGCTCTTCAATCTCCTCAAGCAAGCAGTGAAGACTATCACTGCAACTCATCATGCATCTTCCTCGTGCCTTTACAACCACAAGTGCACAGCGTTTGAATTGTCGCACTGGTGACATTTCCTCTCCCATCTCAGCTTTACCCCACCAGATCACTGAGACCTTACACCAACTGTGAACGACACGTAAGCTAAAGGGCTCCACTCTGGCCACCCACTCAGCAGGGATTAACTCTGTTATTGCTACTACTTTTGGTGCTAAAGCCTCCACTGTTGCGGAACTCCAATAGCTCATCCGCCCCAAAAAGCTAGCAGACCAATCCTCACAATTTCGGCCCCCTTTGTGGGACCTCAACATGATCAACACTTGACTTCAAATGGTTATGAGCAACGGGTGGATAAAAACTTTGAGACGATCTCACTGAATACTGTATTCAGAGCTACAGATAAGCTGCGTATTTGAGTAAAATACCCCCCAAAACTATTCAATACCCAATTACTTTCAATAAACTTGCTTACAGAAATGCATACATTAAATGAAAAACTCAATTGTTTGAAAACAGCAGGCATAAATACCCAACGAAGCTTTTTCAGCATGCGTACCACAGAGCTAATTTCCGAAATTCAATTACGAGCTAATTTACGTTCAGAGTCAAGCCTATATTTAGAATATATATATGTACATCTTACACATTATTTAATCTTTTTTCAAATCTAAAAATATTTATTCATTTTGGGATAAACCCAATAGAGTGATGAATAGATAAGAGAAAAAATATTGGTTACCCAATGAAAAATGTGATAACCAAATTAAAATAGAAACCTTCAAGTAAAAACTCAATTGCTCAAAAAGTTATCTGGAGCTCTGTGTATTCCTACTGGTCCTGGCTACAGCAGCTCGCATTAGTGAGTTACATGCTCTTGATGTCACCAGGATCCAGTTTGAACGATCCGGAAGTGGAAGGGCATTCCTGGGCCTTTGTTTGGATTTTCTAGCAATGAATCAACTTTCAGACAAAATGATTGATCTGTTACTTACGATTTCTCATCGATCTTGGGATTGAATAATCTCTCCCTCTGTCCATTTCTAGCACTCCAACTCTATTTTACTGCATCTAGCCAATGTAGAAAATCACGTAAGAGAACATCGAAGTCACCATTAGGCGCGGCTGAAAAATGGTGTCCCGAACCTTTCTTCATCAAACCTCTGCCTCGAGTATTTGTGATGTAGAGTTTTGGTTCGAAGATCCTCTGATGGATATTGTTGATCGTCTCTACGTATTGGTTCGGCTCATGAACTCAAATGTGTTTGATAGCCATGACGTTGCGGGAAAAATGGATTCCAACCCCTCACACCCTGTTGTCCATTGGAGATAGCACTGCAACATGTTTTGAGGAATTGATACCAGTAGAAAAAAACAGGGTCGATTTAAGTCGTCAGCTGTTTCATCTCTGTGGTTACAGCTATGTGGTCATTGTATGAATGACGACATACATGAAAACATGTTCAGACATGTATTCCCGATCTCATGTTTCGTTCGAGTAATGTATCGGGATTGTCAACACCGATTGATGAGGTGTTTTTCCGCTCACTAGTTCATCCAGATTCCCCGTGTATATCTCATGGTTGTAGTCTATACAGGCTAGGGTATCTGCAGCCCACCATCCAACTGTGGGATTAAATGCATAGGATAAATTTAAAAATTTGGAAATTTTAGCATAAATTGTATATTAATATACTTATCCTATCTCACACGTGATATGACCACCCCCACATCTCAGTTCCTCTAGCCTGATAGCTCTAAGCAAGAGAATGAGTTGGTAGATAGACAAATGGTTTGTGCATATAAAGTTACAGTACCTTAGATGGAAAGATACTGTGCTCGAGAGCAGGTAATTGACCCAGTTAGCAGTCGTAACCATAGAGATGCTGAGGTGTGTTCGGGTGAAAGTTTTTGGTTTAGAAGCTGGATACAGGGTTCAAGCACATTTCCACATAGGATTGAAGAACAAAGAATTTATGCATAGTGTGAGATAGGATAAGTATATAAATACATGTATACAACTTATGCTCAAATTTCCAATTTTGAGAAAGTGTCTTGATGTGAACACAATTGCTAAAAGGGCTCAGCTATGGCCTTTGGGAAGCATTGATTATTTGCACTGAGTTATCAGATTAAAGTTAAAATTGGAAAGAATCATGATTGTAAGTTGAATCTATGAACTTCCTACATGGTGACTCAAAAACGTGGGCAATTTAGAGATACTGCTTCAGACAAGGGAAGTAACTCTACTCGCTTGAAGCCATAACTTCTGTAAGAATTTGCTCTAGATTGTGTTTCATTATGTTAGTGTTTGCATCAGCAACTATTTACCTGGTGATGCAGGAGATTTTAAGATTTTACGTTGAACCATGCCACCCATTTCATTCACAACATTACCATTGTGTTACAAGTTAAAGATAAGTCTGCAGGTCAGTTAACATGTGATTTCTGCTTCTGTGAAGGGAATATCAGGAAATGCCAAATATGGCATTTTCAGTGGGAGTGGTAAAGTTGATCCGTCTGACTGTACAGGTCTCCAGTGATCAGATTTCCTTGCTTTGAGTAGCAGTGCTTTGCCATTTATGATTTGCTTTGTGGAAGTGAGTGATGCAATGTATAATATATTTGTACTGTATATTGTTTATTGTGGGAGGCAGCATTTCTCGAATTTAGGTAGTGATTTTAAGGGTCGGTTTGGAAAGTCTGCATATATCTCTGGTTGGCCACCACCCCTTTATGTATGGGTGATCTTTATGATTATGTGAATCTTTAAATTAGTAACACACAAGTGATGCAACATCAGTCTGAAATGTATGTGCCCAAATACTCTAAAGTGGTAGAAATGTTCCTTACAATAAAGGTATGAGAGCCCAAACAGATACTTTTTAAAATGAATTCTTGAAAAATGCTATCTGTAAATGGATCAGGAAGTCCACCATACTAATTTCACAACAATATTTCAAGATTCAGTGAGGCATATGCGTTCTTGTTTAACCTTGTAAGCCTGGCTTTCCAAACACTGGTAATCACTTTTAGGTGCTTATGGTCTACGGGTTAAATCGGTTCAAGCAAATGGTACAGTAACCATTCCAAGTTAAGACATTGGATCCTCATGTTTTTGCCTCCACTTTTAACATATGTCAAGTTTTAATAGCTAGCAACTGTGGTATCTAAGGTAAAGGAGAAGGGGATTATTGTACATTCAGTAGCATTGTAAACTCATCCTGAGGTAATATTACTGCATTTCCTGGGGGTCTTCAACCAGGTGATCACAACAGTGGAAGCATGGCTGTCTAGCAGCAAGTACAGTGTATATTTGAATTAAATTTTACTGGAACTCATCTTCTTTCAGCACAAGGAACTGGAACACACCAATGATATTTGATCTGAAGGAAGCTGGTGTTACTCTCATCAAACAAGCAGAGAAGTGAGACAACCATTTAACACCAGTTGGGTCCCCAGTTATACAGCGTATAATATCTTCATTCTGTTTTGATAAATACCCTGGTCTCATGCCATTGCTTCATTTTGAGCACTTTTCAAATGGCACAAAGCTAAAAATTGCCATCCGATCACGTTACTGTCATGAACGAGAAAAATGTGCTAAGTTAGAGATACAAGAGAACCAAAGCTATGGTGGAAAATAGGTCCAGGGTATTTATATCATCTATATTTTAAATTTGAAAGATTTTGGGGATTAGGGTGCAACCTCATTTTGTCTGGTGCAACTAGGTTTTCATGTCAACATACACCTGGTGCAAGCTAAGTCAAGTTCCTTAAATTGAACCCTGGTTAAATTTACCACAATTAAATCTACAGGTAACCTAGCCCTCAATTGAATGCACAAGACGTTTATCTCCATGAAGTCATAAATGTGCACTCTTTGGTGTTGAGGAGATGTTGAGTGAATAGGGATTGGTTGAGTTCACTGTTTTGAGTGGGATTTTCTAACTGAATTAAGGACACACTGATATTAGCCTCTCAACAAGGTGTGCTCAAACATTTTTGTTTTACATTACACTTAAATATTGTTCAGGCTTTGGAGTGAATAGCTAATATATTTTGCACCCTTAAAGAAAATGAAGCTAGCCTTGCAAGCTTTCATCACACCATTCATTGTGAAGCAGAGGATATTGAAAGGCTCCAAAGTTCACTGTTGTCCCCCCAAACTTGAAATACACTCTCTCGGTCATTTTCTATTGTGTTTACTTGCCAATATCTATTTCCACAAATACTTTTAATATTGAGGGAAGCAAACCTCTACATTTTTTTTTGAAAGGTATAATTGTACATATTTCAAAACGCCTATCGACAGTTTTTGAGAAAGAAATTCTTTTCGCACTGATATGTAGTCGTCAAACAGCTGTTTCAGTCAAAGGTGGTTATTGTGATTTGAATAATTTGACCAATCAGAATTGAGTGTTTTAAAAACAATGGTAGAATCATTTGGTATTTCCTGTTGTGCAGTTTGAGTAACCTTGGGTTGACAAGGCTGAGATTGTCATGTTTGAAGTGAAGATTTTCTTGCTACAAGTGAGTGAGCTGATTAGTAATATTTCAGTGGGTTTGAAGCCTATGTCTGTTTTATGTTTACAATTCTACTTCAACATGGAACTTGTATTGACAAGGGTATAGGTGTGTTCACATCTTATTCAGTAACCTGGAAACAATTTACAGTTTGTGCTTTAATGCTGTTTTTCCTCTATTAACAAACACATTTTTTCCAGGCATTTCCTCTTGGTGGATGGAGGTGGTGTTTATGTTTATTCTTATGATGGCCGCCTTGTGTGTAGTCCACGTTACCAGGGCATGAAGGCAGATATCCTCAACACACAGACCATCTCGCTCAGCAATGACACAGTTGCTATTCGTGACAAAGCAGATGAAAAAGGTATCAAATTTAGTGTGAAACTTACACCATGGCTGTTGTGGTATTTTAAAAAACCTTATTATATTTAATGTGCAGTGTATATTTTAGCTCATCTCATAAAGTGAACTGATTGTCAGTTGTCTGTTGGCAGTGTCAGGAGCTTTAAACTCCTCAGAAACCACTGTACAAATGAAGACAAAACCATGCATGCTTTACTGAAAATGAGGGAAGTGCTGCTCGTTTCCGGAGCAGAAGTCCAAAACTGTTAAATATTTCTGGATGAAATGTGCTGTAACAGATCAGTCTAGTGGGGTGCTGATTCCTTTTGATGATTTGTGATTTTCAAAAATACTGAAGAGCATTATATGTTTTACCTTACCTGACGCTATGCAGTGCTTTAGCTTCCCTACCTCATACAAACAGACAGTACTGGAACGAAGAGACAGTTTAAACAGACTACAGCCCATGCCTAGGCATCCACGAGTTATCCCCCTTGGCCCCTACTCCTCAGTCTTTTCTGTCTGCCTCCTGGACAAACGTGTACACGGAACAGAGTTCAGCTTACCTTGTTATTGTCTTCAAAATTCGTCTTCAGGTGGTGTTACCTCCATGTATCCTTTACATTCTTGATATATTCGCTCGTTTGTGGTTTGAAGCTTGTGATTCGATTTTTATTCGTGACTGCGTAACTTTGCGCGTTTCGCACCTTGGTCACCATTTTAACTTTCGTGCGTCTCGTGTTTACGAGGTTGTGTGTTAATGTACCTTTTGCTATAGTTTTCTTAAACTATTTGTGAATCTCATTTATTTTGTTGATTACGGCTTTCTATTAACATAATTCCTATTAGTTAGGCAAATTATGTTTTTGAATTGCTTCCAGTCTCGCTGTGTTGTGCTTATGTGTTTGTGCGCTTAGTTTACATATTGTCCAATAGCATGTTTTGCTTCCAATAATATGTGATTCTGCTCGTTACACTTATGCTCTGTTTACATTTTTTGCAGAATGTATTCTATGTGTTGTGCTTTATGTAAAAGGCCCAAGTCAGGGAAAGACCCACATCAGCTTTGCCCCTATGGCAAGCCTGCGTGTTCATTTGAACATCACCGCTCCGTTAGCGCTCTCATGTCAATTACAGACTTATTCTTACAGAAAAGTTCTTCTTCGTCACCAGAAACAACTGGCTTATAGGAGGAAGATGGGTGATACTTCGCCACCACCAACCTCTCCCTCTCTGTCGAATCCGGCCCCTCAGCCTTCGTATCCGACTATGCCAACGATGGTTCCTTTGGGCACTCCTCCCCAATCTAAGCCATCTGCGCCGCTTGATTTAATGAATCTTACAGCGATTCGTGCCTTTTGGGAGCAACTACTTCAGCATCACCCAGACGACCTGCTTTTGCCACCCATCAGCTCGGATCTTGCCAGCTCCCGCCAGTCGCCAGTCCTACGCCTCATCAGATACTTCGTCCCGCCGTTCTTTTGGTCACTGTCGCCGATCTATCGCGGGGACAGTGTCGCCAGTTGTCCCCTGATCATCATCAAATCATCCTCAGCTATCGCAAGGCTGTCGCCAGCGCTCATTGGACCATCGCCAGCGATCACCTCATCGCCAGCTTTCGGCGAATCTTCGTCTGCTTTCGCCAGGCCGTAGCCAGCGCTCGCCAGACCGTCGCCACCAATTGCTGTATTGCCAGCTTTTGCCTAATCGTCGTCAGCGCTCACCGGACCATCACCAGCGCTCACCGGATTGTCAGCTATTGCCAGACCATCACCAGTGTTCGACCGATCGCCAGCTATCGGCAGACTGTTGCCAGCATTCACCAGACCTTCGCCAGCTCCATAGGTCGCCGTAAAGTCGCCAGGTCGTTTTTCTTCTCGCCGACCATCGCCTACTCAACCTGCTTCGTCATCTGGCGTGCGGCACAGGGCGCTAGACGTATGGACTCCTCCCTTACATCACCCTTTGGATGATAAGCAACTTTTTGATTCTGTTCGGAGCCTACCTCGACGACTGCATCCTCGGTCACGGCATCAATCGGACCCTGATTCTTCAGTGCGATTTCGCTTCCTCCATCGGTTGGGGTGGATGATCAACATAGGGAAACAGATCTGACTCCCTCTCGCCATCTTACTTTCATAGACGGTCTCTTTCTGACAGACCTCATCTTGATACAGGTACCTTCGGATCGGTTCGCAGCAATCCAATCTGGGATCAGGAGAGCCCTCTCTCAACCTCTCGATCTCCGCCAGTGGCAGAGCCTTCTTGGGCTGTTGACCTCAGCTCAGGATCTGACGTCCAGGGGTCGTCTTCAACTGTGTCCCCTTCAGCGGTTTTTCCTGTCGTTTCTGCGCTCAGATCTGTCGGGTCCCCTTCTTCCTCTGCCAAGGGAATTACATCTGTTCCTGGAGCGGTGGCTAGTCCCATCGAACGTCTCGCGGTCATTTGGGCGATTCGTCATTGGCGTCAGATCCTCCGCAACAGCTGTCACATGGTTGCAACGGACAACTCCACGGTGGTGTATTACATCAACAGGCAAGGGTCAACTCGGTCCGCCTCTCTCCTGGAGCAGACCTTTCGCCAGTTTCATCTGGCCAACGGTCTCCCTCTTCTGATACGAGCCCGTCACATTCCAGGTTGTTGCAACGTCTGACCCGACTCCCTGTCAAGACCCGATCGTCCGTCCCCCAGAGTGGATGTTCCACCTGGTAGCCTTACGGTTCTTGTGCGATTGCCTGGGGACTCCCAACGTAGATCTCTTCGCAACGGTGTGCAACCGCCAATTGCCGGTGTACATGTCTCCTGTCCCAAACCCAGCTGCTTGGGAGGTAGCCTAAGGGCGTACGCTTTTCCGCCCCCAGTTCTTCTCCCCCAGGTCATTCAGAAGATGGCCCGGACCTTTCCCCTCGATCTACTTTTGATCGCACCGTACTGGCCGTTCCTGACTTGGTTTCCTAGGCTCCTTCAGCTCGCAAGGGGAACCTGTGTTATGTCTCCCAGCGTGGCCAAATCTGCTGCTCAAACCCTCTGTCAAAGCATTGTTCTCTCTACCTTCAGACCACCATTTTGTTCCGAGAGGGCTTGAACTGCACCTTATCCCCTTTTCCTGCCATTCCAGGAGCCGCTACCTTGCTGTTGCCTGCTGGGTGGTTTTGGTTGTGCTTTCTTCAGTGTGCCTGGCGCTTCTCACGGTAAGCCGGCCTTCTTCCATCAGTCGAATAAAGCACTGTGTAGCGTCAGGTAAGGTAAAACATGAGCATTTCTGATTAAATGCAATGTTTTTATACTTACCTGACGCTACACCTATAAGCTCACCCAGACTCCATCCTCCTCCTCTGCCTTACCGTTGGTGCCACTATGTACTCTATGTCTGATGTCATCCAGTGAAGAATATGAGGGGTAGGGGCCAATGGGGATAACTCGTAGATGCCGAGGCACGGGCTGTAGACTGTTTAAACTGCATCTTCGTTCCAGTACTGTCTGTTTGTATGAGGTAGGGAAGCTAAAGCACTTCGTATAAAAACTTTGCATTTAAACAGAAATGCTCATTTTTCTTCACTGAACTGAAGATATCAATGGCAATGAACCAAAAGTGGTGTATTAGTAACAAAACTCCATTTCCGAATTGCACCAGACAGTAGAGATATGTCATCTCCTGATGACACTTTTGTGTCACAATCAGAAATATTCCAGCGATATCATGATGAAAAAAACGCCAGGGCCTGACAAACCTCCCTCCAATGATAACACTTGAATTTGTTCATGAGGTTCAAATTTGATATTTGATTTGGCCAATATGGCAGCCATGTTGACAAACCCATTTATGGCCATTCCTAGGACATTTGTTTTCAAAATGTAATGAAATTTGGTGTATGTGTAGTTAGTAGTTGGATGCAACATCTCAGTAAATACCAAATATACTCCTTTTTTGCATTTACTGCTAACTTTTGACAGAAATGAAGCTGTGATGGGCGCAGCAGATGAGAAAAAGTTGTTCCACTTACAGAAGCAGGGCCCAATCACCAGCTGCCACGTCATACAGGTGGTGACGTCACAGATCTTCATATTACTGTTGGTACCAGACAGACAAGTTGTGCTTCTAAATTGGTCCCCAGTTTATTGCTGTGTTGGCTGTACCCGTGGTCTTCCAAGTCTATTCTTCCCAGTGACGGGTGGTGTCTGGGTTTGACGTTGTTTATATGCAATAATATCTAAATTAGGACACGGAGATGACAGTTTGTCACAGATTTTCACCTTTTGTTGTTACATTCTGCCATCTTGAATTTGCTCACGTGTCACGGTTTCCGTGAGATACCGTTCTATATTTCAGTGTTGGCTCAGTATTAGCATTGCGTATAAATAACTTTAGCCGTCTGTAGTGTAGTACACAATTTATAATACGTTATATACTGAACAACAAAAGTTCCTGTGACATTGAATAAGACTTAATGCAAAGTTATGTTTTTTACCAAATCTGAAACAATTTCGGTTTGCAACAGATAAAAGACTCCTGTAAGTGTTCAATTGGTTTAGTTTGCCATGCTGACTTCAGAACATGCGTGATTTCATAAAAAAATCATGAACATGCCAAAATGTCAATTTACAAATCAATAGCGTGTGTGTCCACCTCTGGTTGTGATGCAAGCAACACATCTTCCTCTCATGGAATGGACCAGGCGTCGCACAAAGTCCTGTAGGTTATCTGTCCATATCTGCTGGAGCATGTTTCGAAGTTCCCGGATAGTCTGTGGAACACGTGGTTGTCGTCAAAGGCGCCGATCCATCTCATCCCACATGTGCTCGATTGGTGAGAGATCAGGGAAGCGAGCCGGCCAGGGGATGACATTCATGTTGTTTTGTTGAAGAGAATCCTGAACAAGTCAAGCAATATGAGGCCGGGCGTTGTCATGTTGAAAGGTAATGCCTGGGCCATGACGACACAAAAACGGTAGAACAACAGGATCAATGATCTCGTCACGGTAGCGCTGTCCATTGAGATTTCCCTCCAGCACTATGAAACGGGTCCTCTGTCTTGCTGTAATCCCATCCCATACCATAACGCTGCCGCCCCCAAACCGATCTTCCATGACACAATGATTGACGTAACGTTCACCTCGACGTCGGTACACTTGAATCCGTCCATCGCTGTGGCTGAGGTGTCCCCACTGTATGGCCGTCCAGCGTAGATGCTGTCTGCACCACTGTAGACGTGCTTGATGGTGGTTTCCTGTCAAAATGGGACGTCTGGCGGGTATTCTGGCGACAATCCCTGTACATCTGAGGCGACGACGTACGGTTTGTGAAGATATTCGTCGAAGGCCAGGGATTCTTCTTGCAGTCACTGTTGCTGGCTGGAATCGATTTCGTAGGTGTATTGTTCGAATCCAGTTGTCTTGTCGATTATTGGTTATGCGTTGCCTGCCACTCCGAGGATGGTCTCTGACTGCATTCGTCTGTTGCCAACCTTGCCATAAACACCAAATGGTGTTTCTGTGGACGTTAAATTGTCTTGCAACATCCCGTTGACTCGATCCTGCTTCAAGCATACCAATGGCTCACAGACGCTCATTTTTTGACAGGCGTGGCATTTTGTAATGTTGAATAAATGCGTAATTTTGTTGTTTTTCTGAGTGGTTGTTGTCAGCATGATGCTAAACAATGCATATGGAATCCCGTTAACGCACATGTTTTTATACCCATTCTTGGGAAGTGAAATGCATGGGGCTTGCATAAAAGTCAACTTTTGCATGGAATGCATGCTTTTCTGTAGCAGTTGCATTTTTGTGCCTCGATTCCATACATGTACTACAATATTGAAAACAATATTGAATGATGTAACAACACGGCTATGGGTGTGATTTGTTTTAGTTGATGACGAGTATGTGTGTTATACCTTTTACACCCTGAAATGCTCAATAAGAATATTGTAAATTATGACAACTAAAATGAGAACATGATACTTCATTAGAATTACATTATACATATATAGAGGATATGTATACGTCAGAACATGATACTTTATTAGAATTACATTATACATATATAGAGGATATGTATACGTCAGAACATGATACGTCATTAGGATTACATTATACATATATAGAGGATATGTATACGTCAGAACATGATACGTCATTAGAATTACATTATACATATATAGAGGATATGTATACGTCAGAACATGATACGTCATTAGGATTACATTATACATACTTATAGTACATGTATATGCATATGTCAAATCAAAACACTTCTTAGGTCATGTAAAACGCAATCAATAGATAAACCTAATAATATATATTCACATGTTGTGATAAGTAAACATACCAGAAGTATGGCCTCCAGGTGTAGGTGACACTTAAGTCTGCCATGGCTACATTGCCAGGGCTACAGTGACATCAAAATACCTAAACATATTGAAATGATTCTAAATGTTCAATAAAACTGGCTTCCCTACACAATGCTCTTGCATGTGTAGACATTATTATCAAATCAGTGCTACTGTTTATACATATTTACAGATCTGAACATAGCACTACCATAAAACACAATAAATTACTGAACATCCTAAAACTATATAAATGTCCACACACTTACAATACATTTAACACATATATGATAATAGCCTCATAAACATATTCAAATAACATCCAGTCCAGGAGAATCTGACATTGACTAAATCTCTCACACATCATAACCAATACCTTATTTAACGTACACCTATTTATATAATCTTATTTATGAAAAGATAGATTTGTATATGTTTACATATTTAATTGGAAACATACCTTGACTTTACAAAATCTGTAAAATGTGCCCACTTGCTGTCGCCTGTCAGTGACTTGTCTGTGTAGTGACTGAGGTGCAAGTGAGGGTTAAAAAGCATGCAAAGCTGACCCTAAGGAAAACAATAGGGTCAACCACTCAACCAGAACATTTGCCCTGGCTGACACAAAGGAGCTGATAGGGTAGTGACTGACCCAAGCATAGCTAAGTTAAAAGGTGAATTATCATCTCTTCATTAAAATCCTTGAAACCCATACTGCAAACTAATACTAAATACTAATATAAATAACAATACTAATAACTAATGCTAATACTAATAATAGTACTTACAACACTATATCCTATATACACTATATACTAATACTGACACTAATAACTTGTGCTAATATTAATACTAATACTAACTACACTATGTCCTATATACACTATATACTAATACTGACACTAAGTGATTTACTGGTTAGTTGACACAGTCAAACAAAATCTGTGACTGCCACAATACCATGGCTGTACCTCAGGAAACATTGGGGTCCAACATAAAAAATCTGTTGGAAAAGAGAGCCATAGGGGTTGTGCAGACCCCAGCCTTAATGCTGGAGTTTCAACAGATGATACACAGCCTCCCCTTGTTCAACGAACAGTACCTGGAACATCCATCCTTCTTATTTCCCTGTATTTCTCTTGTCACTAGCCAGAGTGGCAAGGGTTAGCGAGCTTATTCGTTTGACATCACTTGTGTACGCTTTGAGCATGGTACGCACAGAGCGGTTCACCTCAGGCTGTGCTGGGATTTTATAGCTAAAAACCAGTTTCCAGGACAGCCCGTCCATTCTTTCACCCTCCCACCCTTATTGTCAGTTGTGGGCATGGCAGACAAGGAGGAACTCTAATTGTGCCCGGTGCATGCACTGTGAGTTTTCATTTGCTGCTCCAAGACTTGGCATGGTGCACAAAAATGGTTATTCATTCCCTTACTCAGATGTCCATGACCGAAGTCAGCTGCAACACCATTTCTTTGTGGTTGCGTGCTGTTATCCTTCAGGCTTACAAGATTGCTAATCTCAAGCTGCTGCGATGCAGGCGGTTACCTCGACGATCACTCAACACAATTATTGTTCTATTAGAGCCATCATGGAAGGATGTTTTTGGAGGTTGGACTCAGTGTTCACCAGCCACTACCTGAGGGACTTGGCTTTGGAAGACGTTGAGGGTTTTCGCAGTTTTGGACCTCTGGTCATAGCCCAGCGATGCCATGAAAACATACTGTCGGATACAGATGCATTAAGGGACTAATGCAGGATAAGTTAATAAATCTAGTCAAATCTAGATATTTTTTATATTTGTTTACTTATCCTGCATTACTTCGTCTAGGGCCCCACCCATCACAGACCTGCCTCCCCACAATATGTTCAGAAAAATTAGGTGTCACCAACAAGTAATATGAAGTTCCATGATGTCACCTCTTGTGGTATGAAGTGGCAGCCTGTGATTGGGCCCTGCTTCTGTAAGTGGAACAACTTTTTCTCATCCACTGGACCAAACACAGCTTTGTTTCTGTCAGAAATAAGCAGTAAATGCAGAGGTAATGCAAGATAAGTATATAAACACAAAAAATATCTAGATTTTACTAGTTTTCACCTTCCAAGAGTGCAGTCCTGTTGCATCATATCCACAACGAGTACTACTTGTGCATTTCATGTGCATGGGCTAAACGACTGGTTGCATTCAGGCATGTGTTTTTATATTTTTTTCCATCAGGTTCAATCTTGCACTTTTCATTGTTTAAAAGTCATCAATTTTTCCAGATGTATAAAAGCATCCAGTCAGTGTGAAATAGGCAGTAACGACATGTCACTGTTGACATATGAAGCTGTTGACTCCATATTCAGTCATATATTACATATAATATTGCCAAAATGTTAAACAGTATGACTTATGGACCAGACTTGAGTCAGATTCCCACTTGTCGTCAGGTCAGCTGTCACCTGATGACTTGATTCTCTGCAACCATGGCCTAATGTGTTGACTATGCAGTTGTCCTAGTTTCCCGGCTCACCTTGTTCATAGAGATTGTGATTGATATACTTGTGAATGGCATAGCCTTCATATAAGGTGTTATGTTTCAGTGGTGTATGTGTTTGATGCTCAGACTGGGAAGAGTATGGGAGATGGCAAGCCTGTTACTCACAAGGTAAGAAACACTTCTGCTATTATTATCTTCTGAATCAATATTTGAAACCAACAAGATTATCCTGTAGATAAAGTCTGAGGTATTTTGCAGTAGATAGCTGTTACCATACATTACTTCAAGTTTGCTTCGAACCTTCTGATTGGCGCACACTACTTTGATGAAGTTGAGACTAGGTATTGATGGACAAAATTGGCAACGATCCCATACAAAGGAACCAGAGGCTGAGCTGTCAGATATTAGGAATATTTACCTGTAAACAATGTGGTTCAGCTTCTAACTCATTGTCACTGAAGGTCAAAGGGCACTTGCGGCCCTTCCATCATCTGTTAACTTTCCACTTCTTGTCCAGTACAGCTGAAGAGATAAGCCTGTAACTTCAGTAGGATATGTAGCACTGTAATGGGCCTCAGATTGTAAATAAAGTTGAAGTTTTGGGGGGCTTTCTTCTTTAGCTCACATTGAACTTAGTATATTGTAGATCCTGTAATTAATGTGAGAGTGAAATTAATGCGAAAAATGTAAGTGATCTTTGCTTGCAGTAGAAAAACTACCTGTGAACAAACAGGTGATAACAAAATTACAGATAATACCTCACCAGACATGATGATTTACTATTTCAGTTGTGTTTCCTGTTATGCTAGACATTGTTTTATATGCAGAGATTTAGTTTACCATGTGTATTTGTCCAATTAAATAGGAATCAGCTGTACACACATTTTCTCTCAATCTACTGGTGGTTCCCTTAAATATCCCAATAATTTGATCCAGTGATCAAAATTAATTGTATCTGAAACTTTTTTATTTTTACTTGCATTATGCATGTTGTTTCTTCGGTCGAATGTTGAGCTAAAGCTACCAACTCTGAATGATGCCCCCAAACTCTGAACAACAGATTTTTTATTTATATTTTATTCATAAGGAATCAGATTGGGCACAAGTTTTTCACAACTTAGATGCCAGTCAATGTCATCCAACCCTTCCCTTGGTGCCAACACCTCTCCCAGATGTAACTCTAGATGTCGACACTCCTTGTCCTCCCTCATCAATGGCTATCACATCTCCAACCGTGCCTGACCACCGGCTTGTGCTCTAGCTCTCGCTCAACATGGGTCGACGATCTCTGCTCACCTTGACACCTTCGCCTCTCCTTCGTCGAGTGTCAATTCAGCCGACCATTCGACATCCTCCATGCTTAGGCCTAGGTTTCGGGATCTGTTGAGGAACCGTTCTTCCAGACATTCATCTTGATATAGTCTATCACCTTCACCTTGATGTTCAACGACAGAGCATCCTACGCCAACGAGTACAACTTCATAACAGGATCTGCAGATGACAGCACCCAGGGGTAGGAATTTCTTCTCCAGTTAGGCATTGTATGACACATGGTTGTCCATCACACCAGGCAGCACGTTACGATCGCCAGACTCATCATGAGCAACCATTGCCTAGACTCTCTACCTCCATAGACGTCATCAGTTTTTAGCCTAGGCTATGGGATGGATGTCGACAGTTCGTTCCAGTGTACAAAACCAGCGAGTCATCTGAGCACGACATTGTCATGTCATCAGCAGACTACAACACCTGGGCCCTGTTCCACAAAGCGATCTTAGTGCTAAGTCTGTCGTAAGTCTATGTTAAAGTATGGGAGTTACGATCATCTTAGCGCTACGATCGCTTTGTGGAACGGGGCCCAGATCATCATCAGATGATCCCGTCATTGTATAATTGTACGACTACCACAGGACATACACACACAGACTACTCTATCTGATCATCGAATGCCACGCCACGCCATCATGGTACACAGTGATACAATCGTCCAATGCGACATGATCATCTGTCACCTAGACAACCCGACTATACAGATCGACATCAGATAGACAATTTGCCTACATCTGTCTATGACGGTGAGGATGAAAACCCTATCCTTCATACAGACGGCACGCAACCTGATTTGATGGTGGAAGTCGTCTCTGGTACGGGTCACTGGTGCCCAGCTATCATTCATACATGCGAAAGTTTGGAGAGCTTTTGCACACATCTCTGCTATTGCCTCTTCTCAGTCAGGGAATACCATTTGTCGCAGTTACAGTCCATGATTACTCTGCAGGTGAACCAACTTCATTCACTCGAGACTCACCTTACGCCTAAACAGCTCTGCACTTCATCTTCAACGGTCGCCCACCAGTGGATGGTGCTGCCGTTTGGAATTTCCACAGCCCCATGGTTATTCACACGCATTACCAAGCCAATCATCAGCTATCTACATACCAAGGGGTTTGCCATTTACATCAATGACTGCCTGATGAACGATCAGCTTCACTGCCAAATGGGCTGGATCGGCAATGAGCAGCAGTCAGAACTCATTCTAACCCACACGTGGAGCATCAGCAGAGGGCATTATCAACAAAAAGCTGTCTCCCGAGCCTACCAGCCTACCAGCCTACCAGCCTACCACCAGGGACCTCTAAGACGACAAGTGGGAAGACATTCGGGCTACAGCCGAATCTCTCCTCAATTCATGGTGGACTTCCTGTTTACCCTACGTACCACAAAGGTCTCATCTGTCCCCCTGTGGACAGGGTTCCATACATCTTGGCTTATGTTGCGACTTTATGGCTAAGAATCAACAACCAGGCCAACCTGACAGGGGCTACATAGCAGCGTTGGCCTCTAGATGGGGAAATAGTACTTTTACTGTCCTACCAACATGTAACAATGTGGGACTCGATCATCCTAGGGCTTATTCTCCTAATGAGATCAGGACACTTGCATCCACCTCGAAATAACATGGTAACTACTCTGTTCAGGATTGCTTCTGGTAATCAAACACCGTCTTTCACAACATCTTGGTAGAGAATGTGAACGGCATACTCAGTTTTTGACTGTTGATGGTCGCACAACATGCCGCCTGTTCTCCTTTTTTTGTGTTCTTAGCTTTTCCTGAAGGTATGCACAACCACCTTCCGTCAGATAAAGGCTTATGCATAATGCATTGCAGGCTAGAATAAAATCAGAATAATTACTTCATTACATTTCTACAGGGGTCGGGAAACGGTCATATGCGCCGGACATGTCCTATTGGGAATCTCAAATGTCTGATTTAAAATATTGCTTTCCGGACATTTAAATTTTTCTGTCCGGACATTTTAAAAAACAAACAACGCTACCTTCGGGGTCCAAATAATTGATGAGCGTTATTGTATCCCTTCAACGACTTCAGGTGAATAAACAGGCATAACAAACTTGGTCAATAAAAGTATGAAATTTGATATAAAACATCACTAGACATGATGATTTTACCATTTAAAATGTATTTCCTGCTCTCAAAGGCATTGTTTTTTTTATATGCAGAGATTAAGATTACCGTGTGTATTTTCTCGTAAACTAAGCCGGAAATAGCAATTAGCTGTGCACACGTTTCCTCCCAATCTACTGGTGATTCAGTTAAAACGTACCCAGTGATACCACTTATTCTCTTTCAGATTAAATCCTCCTTGGGGCACTTATTGCATTTTCCTTGCCCAAGAAAATCTACATGACATAGGTGTTACCATTTTCCTTAATAAAAAATGTTACCACACAAAAAACAGCGTTTTTGTTTGATATATGACCACCCCAACGGGGCCTCACCCTCTACGGGCGACACACGCCAAGGGGAGCGACTCTCACCCAAATCACTTTTCCTTATGTCATCAGACTGTACAGACGTACTTGTAAGACTGCTGAGAATTTAATTTCGTCCTAATTATCGTGGAATATGGAAGACATGGCTCAAACTGTATGTGTGGTATTATGTCTCCCCCAGAATGGAGGGAGACATATTGTTTTTGGCACGGTTCCCGTCGGCGTCGGCGTCCCCACCGTTTCCGGACCATAACTCAGAAACCGTTTAATATTTTTTCGCGAAACTTTGTATACACATTAACCAAGCACTGAAGTGGTGCCTTTTGCTATTTAGAGATTTTTGACATTTTTATTTTTTCTCGTTTCCATGGAGATAACTTGAACATAGGCTCTGAATGGGGGTAAGCTTTGTTTCCTGACCATAACTCAGAAAACCGTTTAATATTTTTTCGCGAAACTTTGTATACACATTAACCCAGCACTGAAGTGGTGCCTTTTGCTATTTAGAGATTTTTGACATTTTTATTTTTTCTCGTTTCCATGGAGATAAGTTGAACATAGACTGAATTGGGGTAAGCTTGGTTTCCGGACCATAACTCAGAAACCGTTTAATATTTTTTTGCGAAACTTTGTATACACATTAACCCAGCACTGAAGTGGTGTCTTTTGCTATTTAGAGATTTTTGACATTTTTATTTTTTCTCGTTTCCATGGAGATAAGTTGAACATAGGCTCTGAATGGGGGTAAGCTTTGTTTCCTGACCATAACTAAGAAACCGTTTAATATTTTTTCGCGAAACTTTGTATACACATTAACCCAGCACTGAAGTGGTGCCTTTTGCTATTTAGAGATTTTTGACATTTTTATTTTTTCTCATTTCCATGGAGATAACTTGAACATAGACTCTGAATTGGGGTAAGCTTGGTTTCCGGACCATAACTCAGAAACCGTTTAATATTTTTTCGCGAAACTTTGTATACACATTAACCCAGCACTGAAGTGGTGCCTTTTGCTATTTAGAGATTTTTGACTTTTTTATTTTTTCTCGTTTCCATGGAGATAAGTTGAACATAGGCTCTGAATGGGGGTAAGCTTTGTTTCCTGACCATAACTCAGAAACCGTTTAATATTTTTTAGCGAAACTTTGTATACACATTAACCCAGCACTGAAGTGGTGCCTTTTGCTATTTAGAGATTTTTGACATTTTTATTTTTTCTCGTTTCCATGGAGATAAGTTGAACATAGACTCTGAATTGGGGTAAGCTTGGATTCCGGACCATAACTCAGAAACCGTTTAATATTTTTTCGCGAAACTTTGTAAACACATTAACCCAGCACTGAAGTGGTGCCTTTTGCTATTTAGAGATTTTT